TATATATATATATATATACAGCCTTAAGGCTCGTTGCGGCGTGCAATCCGATCCATATGCATACAGCCCTCAGGCTCGGTGTGGCGTGCAACCTGATCCATATATATACCTATAGCTCACAACTCGACACTCAGGCCCTAACTCAATCACCAACCTCTCTAGTCTCTCGGGCTCTCAGAAATCATAAAGATCAGCTCAAACAAAATAACATAGTGTATCAACAAGAATCAAGAAGAGACTGAGATATGATGCGCAAGTAAAACCATGACTGAGTACAAGACAACAATTAGCAAATAATTCAACAAGTACGCGACCTCCGCTGTTCCCAACAGTACTATCACATAGCCTAAGCATGATTTCTAACCTGATTTGCAGTCAAATTTCTATAACACAGAGAGAACAAGTAATTAGCAATAGTCTATTCGACTTTATAGTCTCATGGGACGGACCAAGTCACAATCCCCCACGGTGCACGCCCACACGCCCGTCACCTAACATGTGTGTCACCTCTAACATAGTCATATCATAACAAAATCTGGGGTTTCATACCCTTAGGACCAGATTTAAAATTGTTACTTACCTCAAACCGCGCAAAATCCTACTCTGCAATGCCCTTACCCCTCGAATCAATATCCAAAATGCCCTGAATCTAGCCACAAGAAGTACGACATAATTAATATAAGCTAAAAGAATCAATTCCACAAGAAAAACACGAAATTATAAGCCAAAATCCGAAATAGGCTCAAACCCGGCTCCCGACCCACGTCTCAAAATCCAACAAAAGTCACAAAACCCGAAAGCCCATTCACTCACGAGTCTAACCATACTAAATTCATCAATATCCGACATCATTTGGTCCTCCAAATCCCCAAAATTCACTCTCCAAATCTCAAGCCCTAAACCCCCAAATTTCGCTTCAAAAACGAGTCCAAGAAGCTTACCTCAATAATCCCCTCGAAAATCTTCTCCAAAATCGCCTAAGTCCGAGTCTCAAATGGTGAAATAAGACTAAAATCGCGAACCCTTGCTTTTTTAAACCTTCTGCTTAGACTTTTCGCATTTGCGAACCTACTGTCGCACCTGAGACACCGCACTTGCGGAAAATCCATCGCATGTGCGGATTCCACTTAAAATCCCAGCTTCCGCTCCTACGGCTTCTAGACCGCATCTGCGCCTATCGCAGGTGCTGAAACCTATCGCGTATGCGGCTATAACTCGCACATGTGCCCAGCTGCCCACTTTTGCGACCATCGTAGGTGCGAGACAATCTTCGCACCTGCGGCTTCTGCTCAACTCCACCTTGGCCGCTTCTGCGGTCCCATCCCCGCTTCTGCGAGCTCGCACCTGCGGTTCCCACTTCTCAGGTACGATTACACCAGCAACAGTAGCACTTCAACACCTCCTTTCAAATCCAAACCAAGTCTGAAACCTCT